GCATTCTGGATCATGATTGACATTCAACAGCCCTCTGACCACTTTCGTACTTGTTTGGCCTTAAACTGACGCACTTAAGCAACAGCCTTCTGACCACTTCCGGACATGTGCGATCTTTAACCGACGCACTTCAACAATTTCAGCTAAAGCAAACTTTCTTGTCGCCGTTTTGAAGAAGATATTCATTATTTCCACTGCCACCACCCCACACCGTACTGGGCCAACAACCTCCGAGAGACTTTCAAGAAGGTGGCGCGCGTACCTTAATCAGATGTGCGCCGATGAGCATCGAAACATCTACTTAGTCGTTTATACCAATATGTTTGCCTTGGTTAGCCCGTCTTAGTAGGCAGCGCGAGCATTATAGGTGGCGCTCATGGAGACGAGTTGGGCGTGCGGCAGCGCTAGATGGCGCTCGTACCCAGCGCTCTGGGTGGGCAGAGGAACGGGAGGGGCGGAAGGGACCATGGGTCATAGCCCTCACGTTTAAGGTGGGTGGGCTAGTGCTTTTAGCTGTCCCCTCCCCACCTCCAGATTTCATTCGCGTTTAACCTATTCTTGCACTGCCTTCAACACACATATGCATATGCCCATTTACCAAGTTCAGCAGCCATCTTCCTCAAACCGCATGTGACAAAACTGCTTGATGTGGCAAATGACAGCATCGTATCCTGTCATTTACAGCGAACGGAAACATTCAGGGGAAAACTCCAGGGGATTAGTATAAAGGCTTCGTCCCGTCTTTTTTATAACGCCTCTGTTCTGCCTGCCTGCTCACAGTCCACTCAGAATAGGTTCGTAAAGTTGAATGAGGATATGCCATAGGTGTTTGCTGTAGTCCAACGTGTCAGGTGAAAGCCAAGCTTCGGTGGAATCTCAGTGGTTCATGCAACTTTCGCAAAACCATAACTACTCCCCTGCTTGGTTGACACTTGGCTACATAAAATGCCACGAGTTTACGGGCGTTTTTCCGCGGGGAACACTGTTACGCTATTTACCTGGCCGATGTACTACTGGTAGGTATCTTATGAAACGCTAGAATATCGTTGGCCATTTCAATAAGTGCCTGATCAAGCCGAGTGTGGGTTATGTTGTGTTGCCGTGTTATACTGTTGTTTGCGTCAGCGTTAACCACTACACGTTTGGGAAACCAGAGGACGGGTTCGATTACCCGTGGCACCCACCGTCCCGGCAAGGTGAGAAGCAGGTGACGCCATATAGCCTCAGCAGCTGAGCGCGTGGTAGAGCCCCAATGCCACTATGTTGTTGTTTGACAGAATCGGCGGTAGTGTTCATTGTGTTTTTGCTTTGCAGGATATGATTAACTACAGTAACTCCTCACGCATCAGCCATGTGGTGCTTCCCCATTTGAAATCATGCACGATCGTTCCGCTGCGCTCGAGTATGTGCCGGAACCACGGCAACGAGCAACGATGATCAAAAAGCTATGAGTTTGCGGGAGACATTTCTGAACAGTGTTGTTTTCAAGGTTAGCGGTTTACCAGATGCGCTCGCCAGGCAGGGGCAGCACGATCTTCACGATTTGGTGCCCTGTCAGCAAGTAGACCAGCAAAACGCGAAGCGTGTAAGTCACCCACTAGCAGGGTTTCGAAGAAGTAATTGCTTTCCATTACTGAGTGCTGGTTGCGTTGAGCCACGAAATACATGTCAGTTTTTTCTCGAAAATACGTTAACCTCTTTCTTCTTTTAGTTAAGTCTAAATGGCTTGCAGATATAAAGTTTTGAGATAACCGCTTCGCCCATTTCGTCAGAAAAAATTAATTGCAACCGTCATCAAATGCACTGACAGTGTCGCACCATATAATCGTAGAGACTGTCTGCTCCCGCCACGTAGCATCCGCCAGGTCAAGTAATCAGTCGCCTCAGGAATTTGACCCCAGGGCCCTACCGCATACTGGAGTTTGAAGTGTAAACTGCTCGGACACGGCTGCGGGAAAGAGCATAGATATAAACATATGATTAATACACGCCAATGTCCGACCACCGGATCGCAGGCTTGCAACAGCTGAAAACCTTAGTAGGGGCCTGACGAGTAAGTGCAACGAGTTCGGTTTTATCAGGCGAAAGCTCAATGAACGGTACTCATTATTTAATTGAACATCAGTCATAAAATGACAATCCAATGCGTCATATGCGCGGTTTAGTCAACCCTTGTTTACTGCGCTTTATGGAACGTCTAAAGATTGATTATTGTTGCAAGGCAAATGACGTAAAAATGTTGATTACAGAAGGGGTCCGCTACGTGGTTGGCATTCAGTCAGGCAGCGTATCAATCGTAGAATGATGGGAATCGCATGAGAAGCCCGGTGATATACGAGAGGACAACATATGTAAGAAAAGTGTGAGCCCTCGTCCAACTTACAAATGTGGATGAGGACGGCTACGTTGTAGGAGGGGAAAAACGAATTACCGGTTGACGAATTCATGTCCTATGCAGACAGCTCTCCGCAAGCTATTTTTTCTGCTGTTGTGTGGTGTAGGCGACGATTATTCGGAAACACGTCCTGTAGCATGCGTCTGACCTGCTTTACACACCCGACAAGCTGTGATGCTGATGCATGAACATGCACCAGTTATGCGATTGGTTCGAAGTCAGTAATGAGGGGTGCAGTCGATCCAGGGTAGCGGTCGCCGACGGTGGAGGCAATTGCTGTTCAGGTTTTCGTTGATAAAAAGCTGTTCGTTTACTGCTCTTCCCGCCCAAAAGTATCATCACATCCCTGTCAGTCCGTGATTTACATAGGTAAAAAGTTTATTGCAAGTCGCATGTCACATTGGCCTGCTGCCGGTGCATATCAAGCATTTTCAATCTTCCAGCAAGCGAACTGTCCAACACACAGCATCCCTGTCAGTCCGTGATTCGTATTGGTAAATAGTTTATTGCAAATTGCAGCCCACATTGGCCTGCTGCCGATGCATATCAAACATTCTGCCATCTACCAGCAAGCAAACTGTCGAATACACAGTCACGTTTGGCACGAAGCTATAGTATATTGTACAGCTTTGGCTTTGGTTGAAAACCTCAGAACAGTAGAAACGTCACCAGACATGTGTTTCTCTATCGGAAGTTTTGGCATGATACGTGCCTGAAAAACAGAAGCGTCTGTAGATGTAAAAAACTACGACCTACGAGAACCTGAGCGAAGAGCTGGTACTGCGCCAGTTTTAAACGTCACCCAAACGCATTCCTGGTGTACACTTTGAAGACAACACACTATTTTATATCAATGGCCACGCACAGACGTCCGAATGAGAAACCACGGCCTCCAGCTACACGAAGGCCACGGTCCACCTCCACGCCAGTGACGTCATGCCCGTCACAGACGCGGCCAACAGTCAGCACGGGCATTTGGCACAGGCCTTTGACACCACCCCCGAGGGTGACGTCCAAGTGAGAGCGTGGACACGTTAAGCCGTGTACGCAGAATCTGCTGGCCAGTGCCGACGTGTCCACATTTGGCAGCTGATACCTTCGAGATAGCAAGGCACAGCCATCGGTCATTGTTCAGGCGAACAGATGAATACAGCGATATATATATATATATATATATATATATATATATGTATATATATGTATATATATATATATATATATATATATATATATATATATATTTAAAACAAGTGGTATTTGCAGCGGCGCGATGGTGCGTACAAGTCCCGTCTCAGTCAGGATGAGAAGCCCAGTGGACTGATCCGATCACATGGGCTGGTCGGGCGATAAAACCTGGTGTCAACGGTCCAGTATGTTGGCGTGGGTAGGATGCAGTGTGCAGTCTTCGCTGGTAGGCTGTACCGTCACGGAGACGAAAGAGCGTTTGACGCAACTCCTGGAGACGTCTCACAGACGACAATCTGAAACATAAATTTCCCGGAAACATTCCGGCTGATAGGTGATCGGGACGTGCCGAAACATGTTTCGTGTATGGCAGACGTTTAGTGGCTTTCACCTTTGTTATATCTGCGGAAACAGTACTATGGTCAAGCGCAGTGAAGAGCTGTCAAGGTACATTTTAAAGAAGCTTTCATGGTTATGACATAACACATGGTAAATTGACCACACCGCGCCTAACAGCCTCAAAGCGATGTAGTTCTCGTGGAACTTAAGCTGAACAGTTGAATGTTTTGCGTGATTTCTGGGTACGTATCACACACGTGGGTATTGCCTATCATCAGGATATCTAGCAGTTGAATATTGGGCAACGAAATACAACAACGTCCTCCAGCAACGTCATGGTGCAGGAGTTGTTCATCATCACCACTCTTCACTGGACCAGCGGAGGCAGGATCAACTGGTATGCGGTCGGCCAGGTCCGTTCCTGGACCGTGCTTCCACTGCACCAGCCTACGTTTGCGTGAGCTGCACTGCTGAAAATATTCCACACGAAGTAAGAGTTCACTGTAAGAGTAACTGCGCGAAGAAAAATTAGACACACAAGCTGGCCACACCCATGTGAGCGATGCTGACCAAGACCCACTCACATGTTATACCAGCCAACACAGCGCACGCACCGTCTCACTCACTCATTCATATTTCAGTCATTCATGGATGTGTGCATGCAGGAACATACAGGTACATTTGTCAAGGAAGACATTTATGAAACACTAGAGTCTAAGGAATAAAGGAATCGGTCATCGAATGATAGACTGGCAACAGAGTACACACGACGGCAGCGTATTTTCCTGATGCTTTCACATAAAAAAGATGTGCAAGGGCGAGATGTGTCACACTATGGTCTGAGGTAAAATGAGTCTTATTTCTTAACCACAAGCTTTTTGGATCATTTACGCGAGCTCAGCGGAACAAAAATGCCATAAACGACCTCGTGTATGCCTGAATCAGGAATAGCCCGCTGTCCAATTCCATTTTATCGTGAAAGTTTAACATAAACTCCATCGTGATACAGGGAAGGAATCGACTTCGCAATCCGGTTTGCCCCGACCCACATCCGCTTTTTAATGTCAAACCTGACCTCAGTCTAGCTCGTTCCACCCCAGCCTATGATGGCGATGAGCTCACCGCAGGGGTCCAGCTCTTCGGGCGCCCATCGGAAGTCCACGCACTCCACCGTCTGCTGCCGCCCGCTCTCCACGCAGGTGTAGTTGACACGCGCGCCCGGGAACCGGCCGCCGCCCCAGCTGATGTTGCGCGCCTCCGTGTCGTTGGGCGGCCGCGGAATGTCGCCCAGGCAGGCGGCTAGCGGACGGGCGAGCGTGAGGCTTTCGTAAGGGGAGCCACGCATCGGCCCAAAGGCTCGGACTCACACGCACACCCCAGACAACAGAGGGAAGGACACTCACAGCTCGATTAACATCTCGATTAACGGACGTGCCCGTTAATCGAGCTGCGGCTCTCACACAAAACTGTGCCCCAAAGCTCAAGTCATCATCATCATCATCATCACCGCACAAAACTGTGTGGTGTGGCTACCAGTCTTGCCGACAGTGCTGAGTATCGTGACCACGGAACGATCCCCTGACGGTGGGAGGAGCAGACCGATGTCACTTCGGGTGCTGAAACCAGCCCGCACCAGCCCGCAGACTCGCCGAGCGGATGACACCGCTCGGCAGACCACTGGACCGAGTCCCAACAGACCACCGGACCTAGTCCCGACAGACCACCGGACCTAGTCCCAACAGACCATCGGACCGAGTCCCGACAGATGACCGGACCTAGTCCCGACAGACCATTGGACCGAGTCCCAACAGACCGCCAGAATGAGTCCCGACAGACCGCCGGACCTAGTCCCGACAGACCACAGGACTGAGCCCCGACAGACCGCCGGATCGAGTTCCGACGGATCGCCGGACCGAGTCCCGACAGACCGCCAGAATGAGTCCAGACAGACCGCCAGACCTAGCCATCGGACCGAGTCCCGGATCATCGGACAGACCGGCAGACCATCGGACCGAGTCCCGACGGATCGCCGGACCGGGTCCCGTCAGACCATGGCACGTACCGCAGTGCTGGATGGCGCCGTCCCAGCCGTCGGCACGGCAGGCCAGTGTCTGATTGCTGCTGTTGGTGGCGGGCACGACCGTGCCGTCGCCGCAGCTGTACGTCACAACGCTGCCGATCGGCGCCACAGTCAGACTGGCGTTCCAGTCGCTCCGCTGGGTGCTGTGCAGCGGGTCGGGCGGCGCCAGACAGTCTGCCGGGGTGGTTACTGCCGTCAGTGCTCACTGACGTGCGGTGATCCTGCTCCAATCATGTCAACGGCGGGTCACACGCACGTGGTGGTGTCAGTTTCCCGCTGCCTGCTCATGGTCAGGGGGAAACACTATTCTCCTTGGGACCACCGACGGGCACAGGGAAGTACCAATGACCTCATACCTCTCACGGTCACACTGCGGTGCTAGCGCGCCATTTCTCGTTCACGGTCACAGGGAGGCGTCAGTCCTCCAGCGCCCACTTACAATCGCAGCGCGGTACCCTTCCCCGCCCACCCACGGTCACACGGCGATACTAGTCCAACCCGCCCACCCACTGTAACAAGGCGACACCACCCGGCCACCCGCCTGGCCCACCCACTCACGGTCGCACGGTAACGTCGCGCCAAACCAGCCGTCCTCCGTGCAGGTGACGGTCTGGGCCGCGGAGCCATCCGAGGTCACCAGTCCCTCGGCGCACTGGTACACGGCCGCCTCGCCCAGCGTGCCGTTCTCACTCCAGGTGCGGTTCTGGCCGGTGCCCGGCTCCGGTGGGTCGCCAGAGCACGCTGGGGACGAACCAGGCGCGGGCAGGTGCTGCGGGCTGGGGTGGGTCCCGTCACAAGTGCCCCGCACCAATGCGTCGCTGCGGACAAAGGCTCGTGTTTGCCCGTGAGACTCGTGGGCCAGAATGAGTCTGAGCAGGTCCAAGCGCGACTTCCCAAGCGGAGCTCGGCTGACATCAGGTGCCCTCCCCTACCACCCTCGATGCGCGTTGAGACAATTTCAGTGCGCGTCGGTGCGCCCCTTCATGTGTGCAGCGTTCCTTTAAAAAAGAGGCGCCAAAGGCATCCCATCCAGAGCGCCAGGGCTGGTGGGCACCGGCTCACTGTCGCAGGCGAGGACGGGTCCGCCGGCCCAGCCGGTCTCGGTGCAGGTGAGCTCCTGCGAGCTCAGCTCCGTGGCGGTCGTCAGCGCGTCGCTGCTGCAGTTGAAGACGGCCTTGCCACCCCGCTGGACGTCCATCGCCACGGTCACCACGCCGTCTACAGAGATGTCGGGGTCGCGACAGGCTGCGAAAGGGAGCAGGGTCAGCCGCTGGCCGAGGGTCGTCCGGCTCAGGAACGGAGGCGTCACGTGCCGATGGTGCGTGAGGTGGTCTCCTGCCGGAAGTGAAAGATAATGGGTCGAGGCGACTCGGAGGTGATGCTCGGTGGTCTGTGACCGTAGTTCGGATGAATGCAGTCGCGAATGTGCAATGACGCAGTCTGGTGACTTAATCTGCACACAAAACCAATTGCTGGCTTGTGCTACTTACCACTGCACTCGGGAACGCACGTGTCCCACCCGATGACGGAGCAGGGCAGAACGTACGAAGTCAAGTTCCATGGCAGCTGGAACGCGTCCAGACACTCGTACGTGACCTCGTCCACGCCCTGCGTCCAGGAGATGTTCTTCATGGAAGCGGCCGGCGCCGGAGGCTCCTCTGTGCACACTGTGGCGGACGAAGCGCCCATCACTCAGCGGTCCCCGGCGGGCTCCCTCGCGCAGGTCTGTTCGTCCGTGCTGCACCCTGAGCCGGTCCGGAGCCCCGGCGACGCGAGCCGGGCTCCGGCCCGAACGCCGCCCCACCGGCGAGTCGCCGACACTCGTGCCGGCGACGAGTTCGGACGGCGCGGGGCGGAATACACAAGACATCACCCTCAGCATATACGAGCCTACGTCATCCTCAGCACGTGCAAGCCTGCGTCACCCTCAGCACGTGCGAGCCTGCGTCACCCTCAGCACGTGACGTGCGAGCCTGTGCCACCCCCAGCACGTGCGAGCCTGCGTCACCCTCAGCACGTACGAGCCTGCGTCACCCTCAGCACGTGTGAGCCTGTTTCACCCTCAGCACGTGTGAGCCTGTGTCATCGTTAACTTGTACGAGCCTCCGTCACGCTCAGCATCTACGAGCCTGTGTCACCCTTAGCACGTACGAACTTGCGTCACCCTCAGCACGCTCGAGCCTGCGTTACCCTCAGCGCCTACGAGCCTGCGTTACCCTCTGCACGTACGAGCCTGCGTCACCCTCGGCACGTGCGAGCCTGTGTCACCCTCTGCACGTACAAGCCTGGGTCGAGGCCGACTCACCAGAGCAGGCCCGCAGATCCGTCACGTTCCAACCGCCCACGCCGCACACGGTGGTCTGCTCAGTCCGCAGCGTGTCCGGCGTGGCCATGCCCGCGTTACAGGTCAGCGTGACCACCGTGTCGAGCGTGTTCGTGCCATTGTAGTCCCACGTCAGCGTGCCGCCCCACGTGCTGATGGGCGCCAGCGGCGCGCAGTCTGCCGGCGAGGCCGACGGTCGGCGGGCGGGGACGCGGCGGCACGGCGGCGGGGCCGGCACGCCGCGCCACGCAGTCGGGCACCGGGTAGTGGTGACGTCACGAATGGTAGGGGAAGGATGTCGATGTTAGAACACAGACATGGCGGCTCTGGCTAACTGTACTACGCGGATCATCGTAGGCGCTTCAAAGTATATATAATATATAAATATATATATATATATATATATATATATATATATATATATAATATAATATTAATCTCCCGCCCTCCCCGCCTCCTCCCCTCTCTTCTCTCTTCTCTTCTCTTTCTCTCTTCTCTCTCTCTCTCTCTCTCCTCTCTCTCTATCTCTCTCTCTCTCTCTCTCTCTTCTCTCTCTCTCTCCTCTCTCTCTCTCTTCTCTCTCTCTCTCTCTCCTTTAATTTATATTTACGA